TAGCATCGGGTAGTTAGGATTGTATAGTATTCTTTTGGGATACATTTTGTATATGTATCTGTTGACAAATGTTTATGTAAACATGAGTGATGTGGTGAATCAAACTGGATAATATGTATTTATGTGATTACATGTTTAAAATAATTCAATGTTTAGATTTTCCGCTTTTAATTCTAAATATTGAGATGTGGGTGTAAGGACTAAGTTCCTCTGTTGCAGCTACCCCACTGTTGCATATCTCTATTGAGCAGGTGTTGTATGTTTTATTTCACGTATTGTGTGACATGCTTCTTTTATACCATGTTTTAATTTTACTCTGATGAAATTTTTATTATGTGCCTAAGTGATTTATTGTTTATTTGGGGGTATAGAAGGGGGTGTTACAGAGGCAGTCTGGCCGTCCCTCTCATCGGTCTCCAGAGGTTGGGATGTCTCTGTTCGCTTGCCGCCGTTTGCGGCGGGAGCGAGGATGAGGCCGTGGACGACATCGTCGTGGTGTGGGCTAGCCATGATCGTGATATGTTGGTGAATCTTTGGTTCTCTGCTTGGAAGAACGGGGAAGTTTTAATTCCCACAGACGGCGCCACTGATCTGACCTGATCAGAAGGGGACCACGGACTTGCCACACGTCGTTGATCTACAGCCTATTCACCGGTGTAGAAGAGAGATGGAGGGTGTACCTGAAAGACACTCCGATGTCAAAGTAAGGAATTTGACATAGTGAGAGCAAATATAGAAAAGGGGTAAGAAGAGAATACCTGACCCTCTTGTGAAAGATGGTATTTATAGAGAGACCCCGACACAGGGCCAACGGTCTTTTGAGTTGGGTTGGATGGCCAAACCCAACCCAAGTGACTGCTAGGGCTTACGTGGCGTAGTGAAGACCAGAACGTGGTCTTCGCCCTAGTTCAACTGCTCCGTGGACTCCGGAAAGCGGGTCGACCTGCTCTTTCAGAGGTGGGCAGTTGGTGGATGACGTGTCCCCGCGGAGGGGAGCACGTGGAGAACGTGTGAAGGACACGTTGTTCTGCCCGACAGGGGAAGAAGGTCCTGCCCGCGGAGGGTAGGTTCTGCCCGACGGGGCAGTGTCTGGTTGACGGGGAGTCTTGTGCTCGACACAGATGAGGAAGGTTCGGCCCGCGGAGGAACATTGCCTGCCCGGCGGGGACCCTGTGCTCGTCGGCTGTGGCCCAAGCTGGATTGGGCTTGGCAGAATATTATTGGGCTGGGCCTGCCCGGTCAAGCCGGGGCCCAAGCCAGAACAGTAACATTTGCAGGATGCTAACTATGCTAACATCATACCCTGAACTTATTTGAAACGAAACTTATATGAAATTGAATTTAACGGCAAATAAACTTCATATTCAGAACTCGCCGTGCAAAAACTTAACTGGAACTCAAACTAAATGAAACTTACTAGGATCTAAACAAAGTTAAACATAAGAGATGACATCCGGAGCCACGCTCGCAACAACAGAACTTAGAACAACTTCTAAGTCGCACAACCATGCTTGCAACAACATTGTTCTGAACAACTACGGACATGTCAAAACAATGGTGCTCGGAACCAAAAACTTTCTCAACTCCCATCCTCGCAATCAACAATCACATAGAACTCTCAACTTCCACCCTTACAATCGGCAATCACACAGAAGTACATGAACAATAATGTTTTTACTTTAGAGTTTGTTTTATGCAATTTCCATTTTCATTGTCACTGTTGGTAGGCGAGACAGTGTATATTCATGGCAAAAGTGGATCTGGGAGATTTGGTGAGAGAGAAAGAGGAAAAACAGATCTGAAAAGAGGGAAGGGAGAGTTTGAAAAAAAGGGATGAGACTTAATGGTTGTGTAACACATGTCATCCAAAGAAAAGTTTGAGAAGGTTTTAATTGTAACATTTGTTCATTACTAATTTGTCCAAAATACAGCGTAATTAAATTTGAGTGAAAGGGTAAAATAGGAAGTGCATGCAATAGAATTTTGATATGTTGATAGTTGATAGAGGTGCTTTCTATCATTAATTCACACTTCTTTTCATATTATTTTTTTTCTTTTTTTCAATAGCTCTATCATGATTGTTAAAAGAGATGGTCATGTATGTTATTCGGCCACGAAATCTCTAATGAAAAATGTGTTTTTAGAACATCCAAAGTTTTGAGCATCTTGAAAGGAGTTTGAAAAGTTAGTTAGACAAAGAGGTTAATGACGGAGAAAGAATTAGAAGTATTGAGAGATTTTGTTTCGTACATCTTAATTGCATATGACAATAATGTTATGCAGTGTATGTGTATGTCAGTTAAAGATGACAATGATGTTAGGGATATGATATCTGCATCAGATGATATTATTTTGATTGTTGTATTCTCTTAGACATGTTGTGGTGTGAAGTCTTTTTTATTTTTTGTTTGTGTTGTTGTCTTAGGCGTGTTTATGTTAGTGTGCTGTTTGTTTTAGGGGTGTTTATGTTATTTTTCTTGTAACCAAAAGTTGCTATATACATTATATATATAAAGGTTACAAAAACTTAAAGAAAAAAAATAAATGATCATGTAGAACTTCCTCCAACATTGGGATAATTGTCTAATTGTGTTCGGGCTGACTACATATACCACATAATCTTACCATTTTATCAGCCCTATCCATTTATGTTCTAATACGTGTGCTGTTTGGGCGGCCATTTTTCTCCTGTCACATATTTTTGTTGTGCCAAATTATGTCCCCTTGATATGTAAAACAATAATCTTTCATTGCTACCACCGAGAAGCTATTGTTGTACACGTTAAATTCATTTATGATTTTGTAAACATTGAATAGATGCTTGGAAACGTTCTGGCGATCATATGAACATGTCGCAATGACATTGGAGCAAGGCATACAGAAGACTTGAATCTTGTCATAGTCGCACCAACCTCTATTTAGTTGGACCCGATAGTTTGCATTCACCCCCCTCATTGTGGTCTATTATTTTCCTTTATAAAGAAAGTGTGTCCATGACGGTCAAAGATTGTAACCGCATTTGTGCTAGCTTTGATAATTTCCTCCTTTATTACTTTCATGCAGCTTTCATTGATAATTTCTCCGACCGTAACAACAAACTCTATTTTTTGCCTCTAGTTGCGAAAAGGGATCCCAGTCTAAAATAGGGTGCTCTCACCAACACAATTATTGATGAGTTTCTAATGCCTTTGAAGACGTTGTTCATGGATTAAACAAGGTTTGTTGTCATGTGTCTCCATCGATGTCCTTTGTCAAATGCCCCTGTCCACTTCATCTAACGTTCTCAGGGCCTTCATCAGATCCTCGAGGCCTTCATCTTATCTCTTCGGGGCATTCATCGCAGGTCCCCAAGGTCTTCATCGAAAACTTCATAAATTTGAAGTTCCGGTGTATTCGCCAGAAACTTCATAGTTTCCCCGAGAAATTTATCAATTCACCAGAGAAACCGCCAAAAAATGCATAAAACTAAAATAACGAAGCCAAAAACTTATTTGGACACAATGTTTTCTATGCGACGAGACGACAACAGACGGCGGAAAAACAAAAACAGAGAGAGAGAACGCGAAAAGAGAGTAGGGGAAGTTCTGAGCAGAAGGGGGAAAACATGCGAATGAAACAGACTTACCCCCTATTTATAATCCTAGCATGGAACTCGAGGCGTCCCTAGTCACTTGAGTGCCCCTACTCCTAACCGCCCTAGGCATTAACTGCCTTGACACGTGACGTCGCCAGACACCTCATGCACCCGTTCAAATTCCTCTCCTTCCCGGAACCGTACGTGCTCGCCCCCTCCAACGTCTCCCACGCAGGCGGGCCCGCGGTCTCAGTAACCTGTCGGGGACACGAAGAGCAGCGATGGCCGCAGCAAGCGAACACGGCTCCCCGAGAGCACCCACGATATGGAGAAGCTTGGCACCTGGCCGCATCCATCATCCTCGGCGTTGGGACTAACACTTAAGTCATTACTCCTCCACTTAGGAGCAACGACTTGGAGAGCTTCTGTTCTGGACTGGGTCAGTACCTGCCCCATAGTCGGGCATGTCCAATCCAATACTACATTGGAGAGGCCCAACAATGCCTAATCTTCCATCCCGTCGGGCATGCTCAGTACTCTCTGTAGTCGGGCATACCACTACCTAGTACGGAGAGAGCTCACGCACCTTTCCCACGTTCTCCACATGTTCCCCACGCGGGGACACGTCATCAGGCAACTACCCGTGTCCTAAAGAACCAGTCTTTCACCTTCCGAGGATCACGGGACAGTTGGACCAGAGTAAAGACCGCGTGCTGGTCTTCTCTACGCCACGTAGACCCTGGCAGTTACTTGTGTTGGGTCTGACAATCCAGCCCAATGCAATGTAACCGTTGACCCAGCGCTGGAGACACACTATAAATACCCTCTTTCACTAGATAGCCAGGTATTCTGAATTTCACACCTTCTTTCTGTACTTGCTCTCTCTCTCTCTCTCTCTCTCTCTCTCTCTCTCTCTCTCTCTCCGTTTGTCACTTCATCATCGAAGTACCTTGCATGTACACCCTCTCCTCTTCTTCAACACCGATGAACATATGAGCTCACGACGCATGACTGGTCGTTGATCCATTTCTGATCCGGTAAGATCAATTATCATATGTTTCCTTCAAAATTTCAAATCGTGCATTAGATCGTAATCTAAAACTTAGTCTCACCAAGATCAACTTATAATTGGCCCATCCTATTGTAATCGTAATCTAAAGCTTAGTTTCACATATATCAACTTTTAAATGTGTAACTATTAAGTTTAATTACTCAAATCTCTAAATGTTTGAGTAATCTAATAATTTGTTTGTGATATGAAATAAACATATATAATTTTATAAATATGAAAAAAAAACACACATTTTACCTATTAATTATTTATTTGATTAGCACTAAGATAACACAGATAAAGTTGAGTAACTACAAGATAGAGAGGAACGTGACATAACCCAAAAGGGTAGTAGACTAGTAGTAGTAACCTTCCATGAAGAGTGACATAACAGTAACAAAACTACTAGCAAATGGATTATACAAAGAAGCCCTTCAACTCTATTCTCACCTCCACGCTTCTTATTCCTCCCACACTCGTAACTCCTTCACCTTCCCCATTCTCCTCAAAGCATGTTCCTATCTATCTCCTCCTTCCCCTTCACAAACTCAAATCCTCCATGCCCATGTTTTCAAAACCGGTTTCCACTCCCACCCTCACACCTCCACCGCCCTAACTGCCTCCTATGCCGCCAACTCTCACTCTCTTCCCGACGCCCTCAAATTGTTCGACGAAATGCCTCAACCAACTATCACCGCCTTCAACGCTGTACTTTCTGGACTCTCCCGAAATGGGCCTTACGGTGAAGCTTTTGGGCTTTTCCGTGAGATTGGGCTTCGGAATCTTAGGCCCAATTCTGTAACCATCGCGTCTTTAGTTTCCGCACGTGATGTAAAGGATCAAAGTCACGTGCAGCAGGTTCATTGCTTCGCGCTCAAGTTAGGAGTTGAATCTGATGTTTATGTTTCAACTTCGCTGGTTACTGGTTATTCGAAATGCGGGGATTTGATTTCGTCTAATGAAGTTTTTGAAAATTCGCGTGTGAAAAATGTTGTTACTTACAATGCTTTCGTGTCGGGGTTGTTGCAGAACGGGTTTCCTCGTCTTGTTTTTGATGTTTTTAAGGATATGATGATGAATTTGGAGGAAAAACCGAATATGGTGAGTTTGGTGTCGGTTTTTCAGGCATGTGGTACCCTTTTGAACGTTCGTTTGGGGAAGCAGGTTCATGGGCTTAGTATGAAACTAGAAGCTTGTGATCATGTTATGGTGGTGACTGCACTTGTTGATATGTATTCGAAGTGTGGTTGTTGGGGTTTTGCTTTTGATGTTTTTAATGGAGGTCAAAAGAGGAACTTGATCACTTGGAACTCTATGATTGCGGGGATGATGATGAATTCAGAGAGTGAGAGGGCTGTTAAAGTGTTTGAGAGGATGGTGGATGATGGGGTTTTGCCTGATTCAGCAACATGGAACTCTCTGATATGTGGGTTTGCACAAAAGGGGGAGTGTCTGGAAGCTTTTAAGTACTTTAGGAAAATGCAATGTGTTGGTGTGGCTCCATGTTTGAAGATTGTGACTAGTCTTTTGTCTGCGTGTGCTGATTCATCTGTGTTGCGGAGTGGGAAAGAGATACATGGGTATGCTTTGAGAATATGTGTTGATACAGATGAATTTTTGGCAACTGCTTTGATTGACATGTATATGAAGTGTGGGTGTGTTTCATTGGCACGTTGTGTTTTTGATCAGTTTGATGCAAAACCAGATGATCCTGCATTTTGGAATGCATTGATAGGAGGGTATGGAAGAAATGGAGAGTACGAGTCTGCTTTAGAAATCTTTGATGAAATGTTGGATGAAATGGTTCAACCAAACAGTGTAACATTTGTTAGTGTTCTATCTGCTTGTAGCCACAGTGGTCAAGTTGAGAGAGGATTACATATTTTTAGAATGATTAGGGAGTATGGTTTGGATCCAACGCCTGAGCATTTTGGTTGTGTTGTTGATCTTTTGGGTCGATCTGGTCGGTTGGGCGAAGCGCGAAAGCTGGTGCAAGAATTAGCAGAACCTCCTGCATCTGTTTTTGATTCTTTGCTTGGTGCATGTAGGTCCTACCTAGATTCCAATCTTGGGGAAGAAATGGCCAAGAAACTTCTTGATATGGAACCGGAAAATCCAGCTCCGCTTGTGGTTTTATCTAATATATATGCTGCATTGGGAAGATGGAGAGAAGTAGAAAGGATAAGAGGGTTGATCGCAGATAAAGGATTGGACAAACTCACTGGTGTTAGCATGATAGAAGTTGCATGAGAATTGCATTGCTTACATAGAAAAAACTTGAAAGGAAATGTTCTTTTTTCTTTCTGATGATAACATAAAAGTTTGCTACATTTGGATTGTTCTTTCTGCTATTTAAACTTCCTTGTAAAATCAGTGATTCAGCATCTCTTTCACTGCGAATCCGTAGTAATCGTCAAAATGGTAGTCAGGTTCGTTGATGAAACAAGAGATGACATCTCTCAGTGTGATGACACCAACTACTTGATCTTGTTCATCTACTGTATAAACCCTGTGAATAGACTGTGAAGCAAGAGTATGAATCACGCTCTGCAGAGTTGAGTCAGGCTTGCATGTTATTGGCCTAGTGACTTTTCCAGATTCATAGGATTCTGAGACAATTTTCTTCATGTAATCCATGACAGTGAGGTTCCTGAAAGTCAAAATAAAGAGATGGTGAAGGAGAACATTTCAGTTGAGTAATTAGTTCTGTAGTAGCTGCTGTTTGTTTTCCTTAAATAGAAAATATTATCCCACAAACAATCACACACTTTTATATTAAGTGAACAATCTTTAATCTTATGATCCCTAGTTGATTAATATTTTCAAACTCATTCTCAGTTTAAGAATAGAACATTAGTATGTTGTCGTATATTGAATCTGTTTGGATATCATTATTTTTTGTTTTACCCAAAGATGAACCCAAGAGAGTTTTATTTTCAAAACTGTGAAAACAATTTTGTTTCTGATTTTCATGTGTTCCCCTAATTATTTTTAGAGATGCATATCATGCAGTTCCTGATTTGCCTCTTAGTCTCACCTGAAATTGGTGAAGATTTCAGGCTTTAGCAACAAGTATCTGATGTCTCTAATGCTCAAGTTTCCAACAATTGTTTTAGTTGGCCCCTCTACAACTGGAAGACCACCAATTAGATGATCCTTCATAATCTTGAAAGCTTCAAGAATCAATTCATTACTCTGGACGCTAATAACCTAATCAAGAGGAAATAAGATGTGTTTTAACCTATGAGCTGAGGGAATCTATAAAAAAATTGTTTGAAAATTGCTACCTTATCAGCAGACATAAAAGGAAGTCCAAGATCAGTTATAGGTCTGGCTGCAATGGAGTCGAACCAATCTCTTCCTCTGCATCCTTCTAGGCCTTGGACAACTGCTGACTGAGTAATGAAGTTTACAATGTCTGGCTTACCAGGTTCTATCACCGGTACATTCCTCAGCCGATATTTTGAGAGAAGCAGTAAGACAGTCAACATAGCACTCTTTTTTGCAACTGGAACAAAAGGTGCCCATCGGTATGATTTCAGTATTGATCCAACCTGAAGCCAATGAAGAAAAAAAAGCTTAAACTAAAAATTCAAAAAGTTCATAAAAAGCGAGCTTGCAGTATACACTATAACCATCGTTTGCATACCGTTGTTGACTTGAAAGGTTCTTCTTGCAATATTACTTTGTAAAAGTCCTCGCCAAGGTTATTTACAGCTTGAGGAGCATCTGTAGCCATGGTTTTGTCTGCAGCAACACCACCTGCCACTGCTGCACCTACTGCAGCAGCAGTTAGTCCTGCAATCGCAGCAGGACCTGTAACTCCTAATGCTAATGCTCCCAAAGCACCAACAGTTCCCGCGCCAACTCCAGCAGCTGTTGCTGTACCAGCTGATAGAGCAACTGCAGCAAGCTCTGCACTCTCCATCACCCAGAGAATGATGGCTGAATAATCTATGACGCCCAGGTATCTGCCTCTCCAATCTGAACCAATTCCTGCATCAGGGTCTTTAACTGGAGCAGCTAAAATGTTGCTTTCAGACAGAATCTTAACAGCTTCACCAACAGGTGTGTCTGCTAGAATTTCAATCACTGCCAAAGTAGAGAGGTTCACATGAAATGCATAAGAAGGTATATAGCTTTGAAAATGCATTTATATATGGTTAATTCGCGTTACCTTTTCCTCCCGGAACTCCTGGAAAAGAAGAAACTGGAATCTTTGCAAATGAATCTGTCAATGTCTCCTGCAATGTCTGTGGTAGTTTCTTTCTGGATTGTATGGTTTCAAAGTAGCTGTCGCATTTTGAAAGCGGGGTAATTGGTCTGACCTCTTGCGCATGCGCCATATTTTCAACTGAAGTCATCTGTGTTAGTTAATGTTTGAATGGTTTTTAAGAAATTGCAGAATTGCAGCCGTAGAGATATCTCTACATGGTCTTTTTTAGCGCACATTTGGTTTCACTTTGAATAAAATTGATTTTGACATTTTGAGTGTTTTAGAATATAATTGTTTTAGAATATAATTTTTAGCGCAAATTCTTTTTAGAAATACTTGTCTAACTTTTTCTCGTAGAGGTGTTATACGAACACGTGACACACCTACTCCTAGAGTCCTAGAGGTGTCCTTGCCTGAAAATCTAGGATGGCTTATATAGCAAGACTATGAATAAGATTTCATTTGATTGAAAGATTATACTCATGCAACGATTTGTTTTTATCAGGTTGATCCTCTAAATGAACTAATAATCGAAATTGTTTGTTTCAAATGTTGTGTATAACATTAATCAAAGACCATAAACAACTATCATTTCCTCTTAATCTGATGTTTGATTGGCATTGCAAAATCATGCGAAAATTATTGAATCACAATATTTGGTGAAGAAATTGTATATCATAGGATAAGATAAATAATGTAAATCTTAAAAATCAATAAACAAACATAGTGCAATTCTAAACTTGTTTGTGTAATGCTTCAAACAAAAATAATGCATGAATATTTGAGAGGTTGACGTACCTATAACTCTGAGAATGGCAATGGATTCAGATACACATTAGAGTTCTATTTCTGTGATCTGTATTAGGGAAGTGGTTATGTTTGTTTTTCTAAATGGTCTTTGAGAACTGCTAGCAGTGCCAAGTGTTGCTATACAATGCGTGTCAAAGGCTCTTTGAACCACTTGTTGAATGCTAGTGCTTACTTGTTTTGTTTTTTTTATTAAGTATAAATTAATTTTATGCTGACATTTAGTAGGAATAGAGTATTGAAAAATTATTTTAAAAAACGGTTGTAAAATAAATTTATATGACACAATAAAATGATAAGTTTTATTGAACATAGGTATAAAAAATATTTTACGCATAATTATTAAACTTACTTTATTCATTTTTCATTTCTTTTAAAAAACACTGCTAATCTTTTTTTTCTTCTTAAAGCATTGCTCCGGTCAAAACTCGACATAGAAAACAAACAAGATTTTTAATGTAACAATTGTTGACGAGGGTTATAATTATTAGAAATTAGTTAGGTATTTAATTAAGTTGGTCAGTGGTAAGTGGTATTTATTTTGTTTATTGTGTGATTTTAATCAGTATTTTGTATCTTTATTTTTTTATTCCCTTTTTTATTGATTTTTGGTATGATTTATGTTTTTAATTAATAAGGAGGGTCAAGAGTTGAAGCGGTACGAAAAAGGATTGAGAAAATGAAAAAGAGGAGCCTTTCAATACACAAAATTCGTGGTCAACACGGTTAGGCCGTGTCAGCTGACACGAGCCATGTTGGCATAAGATCTCCCTCTCATACAAGAAAGCCAAGGACAATACGAGCAAATCGTGTCCCATGACATGAGTTGTTTCGTGCCCAGAATCATCCTCATATATTTCATCAAAGGACAATGCGGGCATGCCGTGTTTCCTAACATTATCCGTGTTTAGTTCAGTGTCAATTATGAACTCTTGAAGTTTTAGACCGTTCTGTGACTTTGGAGTCTCCAAACTATTCTACTTTGAGTATTTAATGGTTTTAAGTGTCCTTTACACGAATTTAGGGCCTTGAATGTAATCATTGACTATAAATAAACTTATGATCCTTGGTAGCCAGCACCATGCTTTACCTTTACATTACCCTAAGTTTATTTCCAGCTTTGAGCTCTTGCCTTAAGTTCTTGTGAGATTATTTTGCTGCATTTTCTACTTGTAAGAGCACTCAAGTTTTCTTAAAAACTTTTCTTATTATAGTTCCAGTTATTTTGTCTTCAATCAAGTTTTATTCATTCTATTGTAACCTTTATCAATTTTTATCATTAATTGTGCGTTCTTGCTTGATGTATGTTTATTAAGCAATATTTCTCACCATGAGTGAGTAGTCAATTAGGGACAAGAGGTCGTAGGACCTATCTCATGACGAACCCTGATTGAAATATCCATATGCGAATATTGAGAAAATTAGGGCAACTGTTATTTTAGAATCTGAGTATTTAAATATATTTTTGTCGGTTGCAAAAGCAGAGGAACCTCATATACCAATTGTGTAGTGAAAGGTAATCATCGGCATCCGAGAGCGGATTGTTAAATAACTAAGTTCGAGGCGCCATTGACTATTAGTATCGCTCTCAGTTGAGAAAGTCACATAGATGCGATAAAAACACATCTGGTGTACATGCAACGAAAGTAGATGTTGTACAATTTTGTCTATTTTTCTATAACTCGCTATGTTTTTTGATATTCAATTTCGGAGAGTCAATTGGGTATGTCGGGATAAATAATCACGTACACCATGCCCTACTTTTTATTCTGTTAATTTTATTCATCTGCTTTGAATCCCCAAATTTTCGATCGCCTTAGTTACACACCGCTAGAGTAAAATTCGATAATCAAACATATCTCTTTGTGGTTCCATATCTTTTGTACTACTTCGCGCAGTCGTGCACTTGTGGTTTGCATCGAGTTCTGCGACACCTTAAAATCCATTGTTATTGACCAAAAAGTCATTCGACTCAGATTGTTCCCCTTTTCACTAAGAGACCGAGCCCAAGTGTGGCTCCAATCTTTGCCCACTAATTCCATAACTACATGGCCAAAACTAAAGGCTGCTTTCCTTGCGTGATACTTTCCGCCAAGCAAGAAAACCTAAGTGAGAAGTGAAATTAATAACTTTAAACAAGATGAAGAAGAGTCTCTCTTTGACGTCTATGAGCGTTTCAAATATCTATTGAGACTATGCTCGTTCCATGGGTTAGAAAAATGGCTAATAATACACACTTTTTACAATGGTCTCCTCTACTCCATGAGGATGACTCGAGATAAGGTTGCCGATGGCACGCTCATGAATATCCCATAAGATGTGGCTTATAACTTGATCGAGTACATGACAAAAAACAACCATTCATATGGAAGCTCCTGAGACAAAATTGCTAAGGCCCTTTAAAAGGGTGGGCTTTATGAAGTAAGTGTGTCCAATCACATGAATGCCAAGATAGGCACAATCTACCAAAAAATTCAAAACTTGAGTGTAACAACATTTGTGCCCACACCTGTAGCTTATGTAGCTTCTGTCACCCCAATGGTCCTCTACTGTGAGGTGTGCGAGTTAAACGGAAATTCTATTGGTGATTGTAAGATGATCCTTGTTGGAAGGTCTACTCAAGACAATGTTAATTGTGTTAACAATCAACAAGGGATCCATATTCTAACACATATAATCCAGGATTGAGAGATCGCCCCAACTTCTCTTATAAGAATAATCATCCCCAGAACGCCACGAGACCTTCGGGAAACCCCTAACAAGTCTAACTTGGAAACCATGATGGAGAGTTTTGTTGTGACGCAAACTCGCCAGAATGAAGAATTTAGAAACCAAAACCTCCACACAAATGAAGTCCTTAGGCGGCTGACCACTAAGCTTGATTTCATTTCCACTCTTAATAAAATGTTGGAGATGCAAGTCTCCCAAGTTTCACAACAACAATCTTCATTATCAAACCCTCGAGGATATTTTTTGGGTAAGCCCGAGCAAAATCTAAGGGGACTGATAAATGTCCTGATAACAAGAAGTGGAAAACAAGTTGAGAATTCTGAGGAAAAAAGGTAAAAAGGTTGAGAGTTTAGGAGGAAAAAAATTAGATGATAAGGAGAGTTTGCCGACACCACCAGGAACTATGGTTGTCGAAGAGGAAGAGAAGGAAGTAACTTATATTGTTCCTCCTTCCTACAAGCATAAAATTCCATTTTCGCAAAGGTCTGCGAAGGCTAAGGTAGAGGCTCAATTCATGAAATTCGTAGAGATGATGAAAAAACTCTATGTCAAATTGCCTTTTATAAAACCCTAGTTTTTGAAGTTATTATTTTAATTGATATATTTATATTTTAATTTAATTATTATGTTGTTGGGTTTAAATGAATAGGAAGCTTGGGGTGTGCATGTCCTTGAGGTGGGGGTGTGGAGAGGGAGTAAGAGGTTGATATAATTAATTTAGAATTATTTTAATAATTAAATTGATAGTAGTTTATTTGATTTATTTAATAAAATTGAGGAAATAGAGAATTTGGGCCAAAATTGGAAAATAAGAGAAATATAAGGGATGAAAGAGGGAGAGAGAATTAAGTGAGGGGAGAAATTACAATTTAACTAGGTTAATACCCTAACTATAGGTTAAGCATAGTCCAAGTTTAGAGAGCCCTAATTTTGATCAGTAAGTAGAAACCAAAGTTAAGGCAAAGCAAGACGAGTGGGAGGCTAGAGGCTGGAGGGAGAACATATTCGAATCAGTTTAGATTCATATTTCTCACTAGGAATTAAGGTAAGGGGGAGAAGTTTCTTCATAAATGGGTATAATTTATGAAAGATAGTATGAAGAACCTTTAACCTTCAATAGGATTGTAATACCCCAAATTTTACCCTTAGATTAGTTGGTTCATTTCGCATTTCATCTCATTTTGCATTGCATTGTAAACTAACCGCTAACCAGTTTGCTCAGTCTGTTGGTTTTGTAGGAAAAATCACATTGTGCGCTCTTTAGCTTAGGAAGGGAAAAATGGTCATTAATTTGCAGCCCACTGACAATTTATGAAGTTGAGTCATCCACAGGGATCCCTCGAACGAGTAGGGTTTCCATCTCCGAGTCATGTGACTTATTTGAGGAAGGGTTGAATTTTACGGCAGTTTGTGACGTCAGATTTCTCGTGACACAACACATTGTATTCAAGAGCCGAGATTTAGTCGTCAGTGGGATTTCAGAAATGTTGTTTGACTCCTAAATCATATGGAGCTGAATTTGTTGAGATATCAGTGGATTCGGGTTAAATCGGTGCGAGAATTTGCTTTGCAGAACTTATTTTAACAGACGCA